TTGGTTTGATTTTTTTCAGAGAAATCTCATTCAACAAAAGCACAGAAGGTTCACGCTGGTTCACGCTTTAGAATATACTGATGTTCATAAATTCAGTTGTTCATTCGTTTGATAACATTGTTTTACTAGCGAATAAGATGATGTAAAAAATTTCTTCAGAATTTCCTCAAATGAGATGCACTCGAAAAAAATTTAAAAATGGTAGAAAAAAATTTCCATATTTTGTAGGTCACTAATTCCCAATGGTTTAGTTTCCCAATGAACATTTTCATCCCTTCTTCTTTCCGAAATTTTATTTAATTTACTATGTAAAATGCTTAAATATAAGTGGCGCTCACTACTGTTAAGAATGTTCGGTTCATTGTTGCTAGCGATTTTGTCAGTGGGGATGGGAATAAAAAAAAAAGAGACTCTAGCAACACTTACATTTTTTTGTGGCAGATTTACTCCCCTCTGAGGTACGAGGTTCGAACCTTGATATTCGAGGCGATCATTTGAGCATTAGCTACTTTTTCTGCACTTTATCCGAAAAGCTATTCAATAATCCGAATTTTCTGAACAACATAGTTTAGGGGTAGAATGGCTCAGTGGGTTGTTGCTCAGTTTGGAGCGCTGAGGTTCGATTCCGCGCAGGAGTAAACCTGTACAAAAATCAGGCTGATGCTGGCGACTCACCTGTATTTCTATCTCCAAGGAACTCTCTGGCATATTTGTCCAATGCGACAAGCCATCGGAGCGAGTTCAACCAGTAATGGTGAGGCCACTTAAAAAAAAAATGTGTAGTCTAATCTATAATTTTATTCATATATGTTCCAACTAATAATGAAAAAGTGTACTTATAACACTCACGGCTACGTGGTTTATTATTGTGCTTATTATTACTGAGCTTGTCCATAATACTAGTCTCGCAATATACCTGTAAAATTAAAAAAAAAAAAATCCGAATTTTCTGAACAACAAAATTTCAAACTTTATAATTGCTTTAATCAAAAAGTAAGAATGCTTTATACTTTAAACTATCCTATATATTTAAGCTAATGGAACTAACAGCATCGAAAAATCTTTTGCATTATGCATCAAGATGATACATATCTTCCAAACCCGAAGGTTAATTACTGCTTAATGCTTCCGAGAACATGGAGATTTTTTCTTGATCAAGTTTCAGCCAATTCATTTATTTACATTTTAATTTCATTTGTGCATTATTTCGTGTAATAAATCTCATTCGTCCATTTTTTATATTCTGTTAGTTTCGAGCAAGCTTCTTTGTAAGCAACACATCTTTCAGAAAGATATGATTTCTGACTCGTCTTTGCATGAGCCAAACTTTTCTCAAACTGGATCACTGAACGTAATTTATTCTAGCAAAAATAAGTAAGTTCTTTTATCTCGTGACTATTGTTTCCAGCAGAAAAAAGCGATAACAAAGTTTTAACATTATCGCTTCAAAGATTTAAAAATGTTTAAGTATTGAGTATAACAAAATTAAATTTTTATTCAATACCAAAATAACTGTTTATAGATTTTAAAAAAAATTATTGAAATTTAATCAATTTCTAGTGGATGTTTTGCAATGAACGATGGTACTACTACATATAGGTTAAGGATTTCAAGAGAATATATTCATTGTTTCTTAATTAGGAATCAAAGTATCAGTTTTTCGTTATTTTATTTCATTGCTCTTATAAGCTTAGTACTCCATACTATTTTGCAACTGAACTGGGCAATTTTCCACAAAAATTGGGTTGCTTCTATTGTATTTATGTGTGTTAATGCCAATTCTGCTTATTTGTTCGCTGTTTTTTGAAGCAATTTTTTTTATTTGTTGCCTTATTTATTTAATCAGATCTTTTTAAAATTCTATTCATTTCCTGTTATGCTTAGCGTTCATTAAAACCGTGGAAGGCTTTTTATTTATTTAATTCTGCCTCAAGGTCGAGGGCAAACGCAGGCTTTTTTGTTTACTACTTTAGCCATTTTTGAATTTTGAAAAAAAAAGAATTAGGCGAACAATATGTGGTGCTAGTAGGCACTACAAAGATTCGCAAAAATAATTGATTGCATTGGCTAAATTATAACTGAATAATGGCCTAAATAATTTAATAATGATCATCGACCAGGAAATAATTCATGGCACATTTAGCTGTAGCTCGTATTTGTCGATTTCAAAATATTAATATTCTATACCATGTAGAATACATGTTTCTTCTTATTAAATGTTTTTCCACTTTTTTGCACCAAAATGTTTCGTTTTTCTTGAACAATTTTCAACTATTCAACATTGGAATTGTTCCAAAAAAATTTGCATAAAACCAATATTGTTTTTTTCTTATATGCTCAAGCTTATAAGCATTTAGAAATTGAACCTTTATCAACTTGGCTATTCGACTTTTTTTTGAGTACTTTTTGAGTTTCTATTCCTATTAACCAAAAATAATAAAAGAAAATAGTCTATCGTAACGCTTTCTTACATTTACCTTAAACTTATTAAAAATATTAGTGTGGGGAGTTGGCGAGTTTGAAAAGGAAACAGATATATCCTATAATGCACATCAGAGCTCGGAATTTTCCTTAATTGTAAAGTGCAAAGAAGAATACTTGGACGGTACTGGACGGTTATTTAGTGCAATTTTTGATAAGATATTCGTTTTTGTGATCATTTCTTTCACCACTGGGTGTTTCAAATAATTTTTGTATTTTTGCTTTGAGAAATTGAACTAAGTTGCATACCGAATTCAAAATTAATAATTAGATCAATTAATTTGTCTATAAAAATTGTAGATAAGTCAAGTTTTTGAATACCAAATTAAGTCTTTAATGAATTTAATATTCAGCCATATAATACAAATATTTAGGTATTTTACAAACTGCGCTTTATTTTCAATATATATTGCATAAAAAATTCTATTAAATAAGTAAGACGACTGAAGATCTGCACAGTGAAATGTATGACGAATATGTGCTAAGAAAAATGGACATTAAAGAATCGAGATGTAATTATTTATTAATTATTTTAACCATTCGAACGTTATAAATGATCAATTATTCACTTTAAAACTGCTCTGCTATTTACCAAATTAATTTTAGTACTACTTCATTTCCTGAATGTTCTTCTTGAGTATTTTTTTCTAAAAGCGCATACCATTTTTGTTCCTTCGCTGGCCCAGGCAATTCGCCACTTGGTGATAAATACTCAGATTTTTGGAGGACAAGTTTGCTCGGAGCATAACTCCAGCATCGACGCTCCGAAAATGGCTCTCTCCTTCTTTTTGGCATGACTTAATTCTGCCCCTTGAAATAAACCTGTCGTTAAAGACAAAGTTTAGAAGGTGCTAGAAATTCACTTATATTTCTATCCATAGATGGCTCTATGATCAAAAAAGCTAATCCTAATAGTCATTGGAATCAGTTAAGCTAAATAGAAATGCTATTTGTTAGCTAATTAGATTAATAATTATTTCTCTAATAGGTGAGCAGAAGACGATTACAAAACACTGGAAGGTGACGATAAATAAAAATTTACTTTAATTAACCAAACGTTTATAATTCTCATAACAAATAAAAATTTTGAACTTCATAATTTATCTTAAATATCCAGGACATTATTTTGACTTTTTTCTCAATTATCTTTTCATGTTAAATTATATTACCATTCATTTCCAGCATATACTTATGTCACAAATAATTTTTTAAATAAACTAGATATTAGATATCTTGTGAAAGGCTTTATGTAGTCTTCAGAATGGTTCAAAATAGGCTTCTTTTTGCAATATTTTGCAACAATATCCACGATTTTTTTCGATATCTTGTTGTTTTTTATATTGTTTCTCACGGGTCGCATTGAATATCATGATCAACAACCGATTCTCGTTCAACTAGAATTAAATTAACAGACCTAAGAACTTCGACAATAAGTAAATTTGATTGAAGTAATTAATGCAAAAATATTATTTAAAAAATTCCTGAATATTTTTTATTCGTTTTTCATTCAAGGTAGAACAGATTGTAAAGGCCATGTTACAGTGGAATGCAATCGAGCAAACTCGACCACATCACCATATATTCATAGTCTAACAATCTAACAAAATAATCTTCGCTTGCATCTGTAAATCTTTTTCTAGCACTAAGTTTTATTTAACAGTAATTGTATAGTAATTAAGGCCACCAAATCGAATATGGTACATTGAAAAATGCATTCATTGAACTTGAGATTGGCGGTGAACGATGACCATTACTCAATTAAGTAAATAAATGAACTGTAGTTTATTTTATGAATAAATAATTGAATTTAAAATCATTTGTTAAAAGTTAAATATTTTTTTTTGCTTGAATTAAAGCTTAGGTTTTTATGAAGATGTAGTGAGTTGAACATTTTAATAAATATTCCTGCGCAACAGGTTTCTACAAAAAGAATTGTACGCGATTTTTTCACATATTCCTGAGGGTACTATTATTTACTGAAAAAAATAAAGTATGAGCGAACGTAAAAACTGAACAAATATTAAAATTGCAAATAAAGTAGATTCGGTTCGAAATAAATTAGAATGAATTATTTTTCAAATTCAACAATTCAAATATCTTTCTTTTATTGTTCTCGAAAATCTTCAAAGTTTTTTCAGAATATTTTCTAAATTTAATCAGTTTAAATCCATTTATTAGTTGAAATTTTGTTTTATATTGATTTCTGGTTTTTAAATAGTTTTTTAAAAAATATTACGCGAGAATGAATTATTTATTTAATGAATAATTATTTGATATGATATTTAGAATAAATAAAAAATATTTGATTATATTTTATATTTGTTTAAGCCTTTAAATAATATTATAATTTTGAAACTTTTTCCCCTGCGATAATATAGAATAATTTTGAATATTTTCACGATAAAGATAACATTTGTTTTAACCACAACCGCTACAGTGATATAATAAGACTGAGCCAGATTATGGATTATTGATTACAACATTTTATATATGAATAATAGTAATTTAATTATAAAGTTTATCCGTCAAAACCATCATTATTCATTAGTAATATATATTTGGCAAGGAAAGTTATTATTTCAAGTTCAAGATTAATACTGTTTTCGAATCTTTTTAAAACGATAAATATATTTTCGGGCAAACTTTTTAGACGAGATCAATTATCAGTAGTGGTTGTGAACTGCGGTGGATGCGATACATCAGCATTTGTCTGTAAACTTTTAAAATGCGCTGGTTCAGAAGTTCGAGTAGGTTCGTAGAAATTTAAATCTGAACTTTTCACTACTTTTACTTTTGACTTCTCAAGTTTATGCCATTTTTCTAAATAAATTTTCTATTCAATTACCACCAAGAACCAGGTTTAATTTCATTTTCCTATTGGGTTGAACAAATATTGGAGCAAAATGAAGTTTAACCTTCAGAAGTAACTTTTATCACTATCAGTTTTTGTTATTCAGATTTAATGGCTAAAAGTTTTTCATTTGAAACAGCTGGTGTTTGGAGAACAATTAATTTGATTGAAGTGGATTCAGCTAAGGTAAGCTCTTTGACGTTTTTTTTTGCAGAAAAATTGAAATTCAAAATTTGTTATTTGCTTCAAATATAATTATCAGCGCGATGATTTCCAATTCTTTAATCCTAAGACGAATTCTAAGACAAATAATTTTAATTCTAAGACAAATAAATGCATTTATACGTTTTAGTAATTAAATTAATTTAATTAAATAAATTATAATGACATTTTTAATATATAAATCTCTCCATTATTTTTAGAATTCTACTATTCATTTATTTTTAAATTTTTCCATTAATTCTCGTTCATTTTCATGCAATTTTATTTCATTACTTAATATTTACAGTACTTAATTGAGGAATAAAAGTTTTATGGTTTTTTATACTTTCGTAAGAAATGCCAAAACCAGTTCTGATATTCATGTTTCTTGGTTGTATAGAATTTTATATCAAGAACCTCGATAAAATGACTTCTAGAAAAAAGATAAAAGATCGCCATGATAAAAATTGATTCAGGGTAAAACTCAAATTATTGCCGATTTAATATATTTTTTGTTGTCCATAATTATCTCCATAATTACTCGTAATTAAGGCTTCGGGATGACTAATCTTATTTTGAACTATTGTAATCAATTGCTACCAATATTCTAACTGGATAAGCAGTTCCACCTACTTCGAAAATGGTATTGCAGTGATACATTTAAGTACTTTTTTCGAAAGTATTGAATTTCAGCATGATTTATGGATGTCTTTAAATGTTGATGGTTGTCTTTTATTATTTACTCCAAGTAGCAATCATTCATTCAAGCAAGCAAGCGAGAAACTTCGTAAGTTATAATGATTCATTCCAAAGTCCGCTTTGATTGAGTGGAAACCGATAATTTTGCAGCTCTGTGGTGATAAAAATAAGTTCTATGTGGAATTGCTAACAAAGTCTCTACCAAAATATGACACGGTCATAATCGGGGGAGACTGGAATACAGGCGTAAATCACAATGCAACTGTGATGACCTCTACAATTGGCAAATATGGCATCGGAGACCGGCGCGCCAATGGGTAACGCCTTCTTCGTTATGCCGAAGAAAGCGTGAACGCTTTAATACTAATATTTGCTTCTGCCATCGTAGAAAACATCTATTCATGCGAAGCTCACTGGACAACCAACACTTTAACCATATTGTTTATATCTTAGTCAGATGGAAGAGTGCTTGTGACTTGTGTGCTTTATGAGCAGTTGTACCGAGAAAGTACTCTTCACATTAATCAATAAAATTAATAGAAGTTATTTTTATCATTTGACTATGTTGTTGTATTATTTTATAATTTATAATTTATTGTTATCTACCATTATTACGTAATATACTATTGTTATTACGTAATCTTCTACGAATCGGATAAGTTTTTTTTCTTAAAATTTTTTTTTTGTTTCTTTTAAATTATCTTCAAATTTCTCTTTTTCTAAATTTTAATATCTCTATATCTCTATTCTCTGTCTTTGACAGGAATAAACCTGTTGTGATGTCAAATCTCCGGTGACTCCTGGGGACCCACTTGTATCTCTATCTCCAAGTGACTTTATGGTGAAAAGAGTCAGGTATTTCTGACGGTCGTCCGCGTCTTCTGACGCGCATGCTATTTCTGATCCGGTGGCACACGTGATAAATATAGTCCGAGCGTAATAATAATAATAAAAGTCCAAGGCACAAACACAGAATTTGCTCACGAATTGAGATAAGTACTCAAAATCCGTCAATAGAGGCGAGAATCTATCTGCTAACACTTTGTAAATGCGGTGAGATGCTGGTTATAGCTGCTTGGAACGCTTATGGATGTTCCAAGCCAAGCGACCAATGTCCATATCCTTTCTAAATACCCCGTGGATGTGGCTTGTTTGTCGGAGATCTGTCTTCCTCATGTTGGCTCTCGAGTAATTAAACCTGGTTCCTAGCAAAGATATTGGCTATACCACTGTGGTGCCTCGGATAACTCGGGGAGAAATTGCGTGCGATTATCTTATCTGAAAAGGCTCGATTTGTTCTGATTGAATGGAAGCCAGTAAATGATACGATCAAAAGAACGTATAGGTGGACCAGCAATATATGGACTTATACATTAGAAAAAGGAGTGACTTCTACTGCTGTCGACGATGGCGTCAGATCTCGCACATTTGGAAACGTCTTATCCCTCTAGCCAATGGAGCCGGCCTAATGGTGAGAACTATTAGACGAAGAAGAAACTCATGGAAGCAATACTTCAAATCCATATTTTATAAGCATCTGAGCCAGGCATAAGCTAAAATACAAAATAAATTACTAAATTATGGAAGTACCAACATATTACGATCATCGGGTTTATATAGTTTAGCTGCGATGTATTGAGTGAATATTTATAACAATTTTAGAATCGTATTTTTATAAGACGATAGCAATATGAAATTTCAAGATATATAACAAAAATCCCTAAAATATTATAGTTAAATATTGTGATTCACTGACTCATTATAATGACGTAAATGAAATTAAATTAAATTCATTAAATTCATTGAAGATATTACAGTTCTTCTAAAGCATTATGCAGATCGCATATGGCTTATTGGTGTAGCAAATGACCCAGCAAGTTCGAGGCGTTTTTCCAGCTCCGTGTCGTACAATGGTTTTGCTTTGATTTTTTTCTCATCGGAACACCATTTTCCTCAAAATTTTCTTATCACTCCACCAATGGTCGGTTTATCCGCTCAATACTTTACTTTTAATTTCACAAAGTCATTCTCCACCAAATACGATAATTTCCAACGATAATCGAACAAAAGAACTTTATTCAAAATTAATAATAAATAAATATAGAAGCGAGAGGAGTAGCACAGAGTGTCGGAGCTCACTATACTGAAGTTGTTAGGGATGGCAAAACTGAACGGAGCCCACTGGCTTATAATTATCTAATGACTGATATGATGTCTTTTATCGGTGAACGAAAAGTCGAATGCATGCCAATGAAAATCACATTCGAATTTGATGGAAAAGTATGTCTTTGCGCATTCTCTATTCTCTATTTTTAAACAGAACAAAATAGATACATTTTTATGCATTATGCTTGTTTATATGCGTATTAATTGAAAAATGAATGATGGAAGTCGAGCGAAAAATTAAAAATTCACATTTTGAGTTAGCATTTTATAATTACAGTTTAAGGACATTTTTTAAAGGACTGGTCTAATAGAGAATACAAAAAGTTTGTGTTAAAACTTAGGTGAAATTTTTAGGTATTTATCAGTAAGTTTTATGTATTTCTTTTTTAAGAATAAATTGAAAGAAAATAGGCAAATTAACCGAAACAAAATCCTGTGGTGATCAGTATTTTATCTCATTTGCCGTTGCTCAATCACTAACATCCTTCAGCATTCCATATCTTCCCTCCGTGTCTCATGCATTAATTTATCCATGTGCCAAAACATCATTCACTGATTATTCACAATTCAAAAATAAATGAAGTGATCATATGAATTCATTGAAACTTGCGATAAATCTGCAATATTTAGGATACATCGGAAGCAAATCTTATCGTAAGAAAGAATGTAAATGCTCTTGACTTTGCACCACAATGAATCTGGATTTTCGTTGTCAAGATTTAATAAATTATTAAACAACAACCAGATAACATCGAAATGAAAAAATGCAGTTCATATTCTGTTTTAACAACATTTGCAGTGTGTTAAATATTTTCTTAGAAATTGAATTGTATTTTACTTGCAAACAAATAAGAAAGCAATGTTTTATAAGCGCTTCGTACCTATCTGAACCAAGTGGAAATATAAAATACTTTATATATCTATAATACCGCTTGCTCTATATATCTTATCTAACATATCGCTTTCTGGAATTTTATTTTGAATGAAAAATATATTTCATGTTGGTATTTGCTTCAAGCTTCAAGCTAAGTAAAAAAACCACAACAGTTCTTCGAGTTTTAAGGCTGTTTTCATGAACCATAGCACTGAACCATAGGACTCATCGACGCAAACTGTGATGGGAATTAATGAAGAAAAATGAAACTGTTATTCTGCTTAGTGTCATGGTTTTAAAAGAAATACATACAACCAAATTTTAAAAATTTTATTAATTAAAATTTATTATAAATTCTTGATTTAACTTTATATCTAACAACGTATTCTTTTTCTAATAGCTCACACCATTACTGGTTAGACTGGCTCCAATGGCTACAAGGGCAAGATGCTTTCAAGCGGCACGGTCTGGTGCCACAGTCGACAGTAATAGAAGTCATTCCTATTCGTTCAAAACCTTTCCTGACCGTATCATTCCAAGTCTTGATTGGCTCCCCTCGTTTTTGACGCCATCCATCACACTTGCTTAGCAAGTAACGAAATATGCGACAACTCTTGTGGTGGACGACGGAGAACGTGTCTTAAGCACCGAAGGCGACGCTGTGTGATAACATTATTAATATAGGTGGAGTTTGAACAAATGTGGATGCGATCATGTAATATTTTATCCGCTCGATGGACCCGTAAAATATACCTTAGACAAGAGTGGTCAAAGGCAAATAACTTCTTAATATCCTCCACTCTCATTGGCCATGTCTCAGAACCATATAGCAAAATCGAACGAATCATGGCTATATGGATGCGGACTTTTGTTTTAATGGTGATTTCACGACGGCTCCATAAAGGCTTCATCAACCGGAAGAACGCATTTCTAGCTGCCATGATCCGGGCTATAAGATCGTCTTTTGCCTGGTATTAGAGTGAACCCAAGGTATTTGAAATCAGGCACTTCCTCGATCGGCAATGAATTTACTAAAAGAGACATTTTATCAGCTTCTTGTATATATGACGAAAAATCCGGGGAGTTCCACGTGACTAGATGTTTTCTAAAATGCCGGAAGCAAGTATTAGTAACAAAAAGTTTATGCTCTTCGGCATAACGAAGAGACATTCTCATTTCTTCATTGGCACACGGGTCTCCGATGCCATATTTTCCAATTGTTGAGGTCATCGCAGCTGCATTATGACCTACGCTCGCATCCCAGTCTTCCCAGACTATCACAGTATCATGTTTTGGTAGAGACTTTGTTAGCAATTAAAATTCCGCATAGAATTTATCTTTATCACGGTCATCTGCCGACGGAGTTGGAGCATAGACGCTGATGACTGAAATATTGCAGAAATATTGCAGAACTTACCCTTAAAACGGGCATAGGCCATACCGTCGCTTACCGGTTTCCACTCAATCAAAGCGGAATGGTCAGACATGACAATCGCTACGCCATTTCGTCCCGAGTTATTCGAAGCACTACAGTGATATAGCCAGTATCTCTGCTCTGAACCAGAATTAATAATTTCTCGAGACCCAAAGTGAGGAAGGCAGACCTCCGATAAGCAAACGATATCCACACTGTACTTAGACAGAGTGTGGACAGTAATCGCTTGGCCTGCAACGTCCATAAGCGTTCTGACGTTCCACGCTGATACGGCTAATACCTCACCGCGCAGAGGGCTGTTCCCCTTGATAGGTTTCGAGCAATTACCCTGGCTTGAAAGCACATTTTATTTACCAGTCTTGGGACCGCTTTAAGCCCGGATTGCACACTTATCGCATGTACCACCGGGCTCAAAGTATCATGCACGTCAGAAGACGCGGACGACCGTCAGAGAAACCTGTCCCTTTCACCATAGAGTCACTTGGGGATAGAGTTAAAGGTGGGTCCCCAGCAGCCAGCCGGGTTTTTGACATAATAGCAGGTTTACTCCTGCCAAAGACAAAAAAATTAAATTTAAAGAAAAATCGACAATGATATTTTAAAAAAGTAAAAAATAAGAAGGCAATTAAATTTGAAAAAATGTATATATATATAATTTATACAATTTAATTGATTTGATTTATAATTTATTTAATTTAATTGATTTAATTTTAATTTATTTTATTTTAACCGTTGTTTGGTAAAAAAAAAATTAAAAGTTTAAGAGGACTGAGCTGAATTGTGATCAGAAATGAAAAATAATTCACAAAAATAAATCGAGAATATTTTTGAAACAACCGCTCAACAAAAACTTTAAATCGTTTTTTTTCAACGTATACGCAATTATGAATATCTTTGTCCAATAAATTAAGAAAATGGAACTCCAATCATTTCTGATTCAGTAAGAAAATAAAATTTATAACATTGAAAATTTCTAAAATAGCCAAAAGGCTATTAATATAGCTATTAATAAGGCTACTAATTAAGGCTATTAAAGGCTATTAAATAGATTGGAATGAGACTACTAATCATATTATCATTAATCACTCTTATATCGTATAACAAATTTAATAAAAATTCAATAATTGACTATTTTCTTAATTTAGGATTTGAAAAAAACTCGAACTAAATATAAATAAATGAACGAAAATAATCAAAAATTTTTTAGCTATAGACAAACAATTTTAAAGAATGGCAAAGCCAAGTAAAATGAACCGATTTTAACTCATGCTATTTTTCATTTATAGCTAGCGAGCAAATGAATGTTACTGAAATTGATTTGTTCAAAAGTATGTTGCCATAGTCGTATGTTAGTGAAATTCTATTTAGAAATTTCTTAATTTGGGAATTGTGAAAAATTGGAAAATGCAGAAATTGGGTAAAAATTCGATTTCGCTAAGCTTGTTATATATATTCAAGGAAGAATTTTTAATAAAATTTCATTGTTTAATTCATGAAATATTTATTACATGCAAACAGCATAATAATGTACAGTTAATCAAATCTTGGTAAGAATTAATTATTTAAATGAATTCAAAATGTTGGTTCCAAATGAATGGTTTATTTATGGATTTTGCATATTTTATGCAATATTTAATGACAGATAAACTTAGAATTATCCACAAAATTTAGTTAATTTAGTTGGAATGTGGAAAAATCGCAACTTCCGATTTCAACAACAACATTTTTATTAAATGAAAAGCATATATCCGCAAAAGAGTTTAAGCATAAATTGGACAAAAAAATAAAAAACACAAGAACACAAAAATAATTCTCTCTCAAAATTCTACATAAAAATTCCATTTCGATTAGGCCTCTTTGAACGATTTTCAGAACATTTCGCCATTTATAATTAGGCCTACTCTGTTGGTTGGTCGGACGAGACAAGGAGACACATGGCGAGAGAAGAGAGCCAGCACCACTTGAATTTTCAGAGTATGCTAGTATGCCCAGAAATTGTAGTAAATATCCACTAAACTCTTCAACCGCTTATGAACATTACGAGGAAAGTGAATCAATTAAGAAGTAAGCAAGCACATAAAATTTATGAATAAAAGGACGCAAATGGTCAAACTGTTGAATTGCTAGATAGGCCACCAATATTGGTTCAAAGATTTTTTAGTTTTAATGGAACCACAAAATATCATAATATTAAATAATTTCATTATAAATTATTATTTATTATTGTTAATTATTATTTAATTATTTATTATTTGTTTTATTATTTATTATTTCCTAAAGAGCTTCGAAATAATATTTCTCATCGAAATCTGTGAGAGGCTGATTGAACTAAAAATTTTTTTCCAATAGATTGCAATTTGAATTAATTTTAAATTGGTTAAAACGATGATTTCCAAATAAAATAAATTATTAACCTTGAAGTTGTATAAAAAGATTTTCTATTTTCTATGGTAGAAAATTGCAACTTTATAGCCTTTTGAATTTTACTTTATTTTTGCTTTTTTACAATATTTCAATTCCCTGAGGCGTTCATACAAAAATCTAGATAGGTATAAAATATTAGGATTATTTCAATGGCTCAGCCAGGATGAACTCTGTCATAACCATTTTCTCTTACAAATAGAAGCCAGTTTAGAAGATTTCGGAAAATTAATGGCGAATTTTAAAGGAAAAAAAAGGCTTCCGAATAATACAATTTCGCGATAGCCAAAAGAATAAAGCACAAAATAAGTCGTCAAAAAACCTATTAAAAGCAGCTCAAAGAAAAAAACAACGAATAAAAGGAATCAATAGAATTTTGGATGAGTTTATATACCGTTCTGGATGAAGATCAATAAATAAGAAGTAGAAAATTTAAGAATCTAAAACTATACGGCCATTAAATAATTTTATAATATTTGTAGTTAGTAATTCTTAAGCTTACGAAAAGCTTATATTTCAATAGGAAAGCTATTAGAGATCTGACTAACAGAACTTATTTTAAACTTATTTTTACAGAGTAGGTGAAGATTTTAAAATTTTTATGGATATATCGCTGTCACCCTTGCAAAAAAGCATCACAACGCATTAACTACATTGAATTCTCAAATAAATGGTATAAACTAACGGAGCTGTTAGAATTGCTTTCATAATGATTAATTAATGAATGGAATTTCGCTATATTTTGAGAGACATCGTAGAATAGTTAGATTTTCATCTTCATCCTTTTTCCACAACTGCGAAAAACTTTCCAAAATTGAAGTAAAATAAGCCATTCAAATAAATAATTAATTCTTTTTAAAAAATAAAAAAATTCGCACAGAATTTAAGGTATAGCGTATAAGTTATTGTGCAATACAAGCTGGAGTTTCAACTGCATGCAAGAATACTGCTAGAGATTACAGTAGCATAATTTCGAACCATCCAGCATTCTCGTAACTTTAATGTTCCAATTCATTTCAGTCATATTCCAGTACACTGAAAACGGAAGTATGAAATTAAATTAATTTTATTTTTCTAAATAATCTTTAATTTTATAATGATTTTAAGTGGGAAATAAAATAATGAAGAATAAACCACGTCATTTTCTCATTTTTTTGCTAAATAAAAAATTAGGAATAAAAAACAATAAAATAAGTTAATTTTTACGATATATTCCTCGAGAAAAAAATTACAACACTATAATGGAGATTAACAAGGACTAGCGCACTAGGGCTATGGAGTTGCCCTGGAGGGATTTCTTGCTGTATAAAAGCAGAGCTGTAAGCTTTGATTTCATAACAATCAGCGAATGGGAGTCAGAATAGGAATATTGAAGAATTTGTAGGGAGTTGAATGGTCTCTGTTGTTTTGCGGGTTTTTGTTTTCGTTATAAAGTTTCTTGCAAGTTTTGAATGATGAATGATTGAATTTCTTGCACCTTACGTGTTATATGGAGCTCTGGAATGTATAAATTTTAATCTTTATAACAAATATTTAATACTAAACAAATTGATTAATGCTGTCCATTTTTGGTTCAACTTGGTTTGCTGGTCATTATTATGATGAGGGATTTTTGCAAGGGAATTAGCCGGACTAAGTGTTGCCCGTAACTCCAAAAATAAGTAGTGTGGTAAGTCATGACATTCGAAAGTTGCCTGCAGTATAATATTTTCCACGTTTCTGCGTACGAAATTGTAATAGTAATTGAAACTGTAATAAACCGACAAATTCCATAATAAATTGCTGCATTTCCTAATTTTATTTTTTGGAGTACATTTTCCAAACGTAAGCTTCAATGCCATTTTATTAATGTTTTTACTGAGAGTGAGATATTTCTTTGACAAACCACGTTGTCGCCGAGGAGATTTTCAAGAGTATTTCGTATAAACAACGTTAAAAGAACCCAAAATTCCAGACATCACTTCTCGCATTTGAAAATAAGTAGCATTCGTTTTTTTAAGAATATTCCATATCTTCTTATTCGTAATCGGCTGTAGCAAGGAACATTAAACACGGAATTCGTTGCAAATGCTTCAAAATTATTGCCACGCCAAAATTATTTCAAAGTCAATATTAACGGCATTAATTTTCAGGACAATTCCCAAGCACCAAATCTCATGCTATCTGGTTTTGATTCTTTGAACTGTCCAAGCAGACCACTGGTTGACTGATCGAGCTTTATAAAAAACTATAAAACTGATCTGATAATCCTACCAACAGATGTCAAAGATAACTTGGCCATTCAAAGCGATGGTAGCTGGGAGCAAAAGGCTCGAAAATGGCGACCTAAGGATAAGCGAATATGAGAAACTGAGAGGAGTCATTCCGATGCTAGAGCAACTAAGTGCGGCAGAACAAAAGCAATTACATTCTCGTACATGTGATATTTATTCTTCAGCCTTCTGGCCATCCAATATATGTTTACAAGAATCTTTCTAGCATTCAAGCATATCGAAGATGAAATAGTGGGAATTCCACTGAGTTATATCTCTACAAAAAAAGCTATAAGAAGTTGTGATTCGACGCACGCCAAATTTTAATTTTCTACTTGTTTTGATCTATTCCGAGAGTCTACTTTTTTGCAAAATGTGTGCATAAATTGAATTGATAAACATAAACGCAACGCATCATTCTTATCAACAAAAAGCACCAAAAGTTTTAAAATAATTGAGACATTGAATCCTATTTATGCGAGAAAACCCAACCATTAATTTCGTGCAATTTTAATTAACTACTATTTTTGGCCTTCCGCACTGTGAGGCATTTCATTTCTTGTGTCTCCTTAAAAGCCTCCACTCAAAAGTAAATTGTTTCCACATCTTAGAAACTAAGACTTCATTTAAACTGCACATCTCAAATGATGGAGACTAGTTGAAACGCCCTAAATTCTTTTTTGGTGCTAAGGTTCAACATATCCACAAAATGTTATAAAAACCAACTGCGTGCAAACGCAGTAATTCCTGGGGCAGCAATTTCCGAGTAACAATCTTGAAAATGAAAGCTTTTTCAGATTCTGAAGAATTTCAGTTCTTTTTGTTTAGCACAACCACAGGTTCATCGAACTGGCCATCAATCAATAAGGCTTTAAAACAATAACTTGCAAAATAACAAATGACAAAAGTAAGCAAAAAATAATAACCATAATAGAAGGGTTACCTTGGAAAGCTGAAAACATTTAATAATAGGATTATTTCAACGATTCGAGCATATTACATCATGAAGTAGATATTAATATATTTCTAATGATAAATGGAAGGGGAAATGAAAGGAAATTATTAAAATTATTATTAAAGAAAATGAAAAAACATATATTTGTTCAATGATGAAACGTTGCGAAAAAATATCTCACAAAACGATGAAAAATACGAAAAAAATAACAAGAGTTCCAATTAAATATATAATGTTAATGGCATCAGTTTCCTCGAACAAGAGCGATCAACCCATCTTTATAGGCACCTGAACAATCACCCTTAATGAATGATTCTAAGCTCTTCTTATAGATGTGCTCAAATTCTTGTCGGATATCAGCTAAGTCCACCTCGGCTCTTGAAACGATCACACGAATAAGATCATTGTCACGAGTGCCCAATCCCTGGAATTAATATTTCTTACTGAAATATTGTTTATAGTCATATTTTTACAAATAAAATATAGTCATAATTTTATAAATAATATAAAGCATTTGTCTGCTTCAATTAAATGCCATTGATATACGCCTTACAAAGTAATAAATTGTAGTCATGAGAACATTAAAAAAGCTTACAGCCATACTATCGTAGAGCAACTTCGAAAAATATGCAGGTCGATTCTGTATACAAGTAACGATTGCCAAAAGACCATCCTTGATGTCACCACTGAATTCTGCTTCAATCGCTCTCTCAATTGGATGACTTGCGATCTAAACAAAAGAAAACAAACAACTCGAAAATATTTCGATAAAATTTCCCTTTAAATCCTAATACGATAGAACGGCAAACCTGTCCCAAAAAAGCAAATGTTGAGACCCCTAAAGAAATACACATAATATATAAGCCACCCAAACATCTCTTTCTTCGCCTTATATGAGCTTTTTACTAAATTTTTGGAGATCTTTAAATGAGATTTTTAAATGAGACGGATTCGGTGTTAATGCTTCAACGGCTAAATTTGAAAGCTTGAATGAGGAAACCAGGACAAAAGTAGCAGTATAAAACAGTGCCAGTGCTGTTAGATATTAAAATAAAATTTCTAACTTTCTGATATTCTTGAAAAACAAGACGCAACTGGGCATAATTCTGTGAAGCGAGGATTGCATTGAAGGCAGACTCATCAGTTCCCAAGCGTCGTTCACCAGCATTATAAAGTGCTCTAGCATCCTTAAAATTTATTCAGATAATGAGAAAAATTACAATCAGGCGAAAGTTTTTCACAGTTTCATCAAACCTGATTTGCTTTAAGCGGATCAGTGCGCATGCTTTCATCACGGCCAGCAGCACATAGTGATACAAGTAATCGCTTAAAATGACCACTAGTCTCACTGATAAGATCAGCTTCAAGTTCACGATTAAATATCTGTCGATAAATATTTCGTAAATCCAATATTTGAGCATTATTACGAGAGCACATTATTTCAATTAGCACCGATTCTTTAGTACCAAGGCCCTGTAAGAAATTCATTCATCTAATCAAATATTCACTGAGACTTATAAGAACACAACCTTTATAAAATATTACTAAATTATTACAAAATATTATGTTTGATCTATGCGCAAAGAAAAAAAATGAAAACAAAATTTTAAAACATACGGCCATCGCTTTCCTCATTTGTAAAGCATCATATTTTGCTGGTGGTTCCATCAAAGCTAGAATTAAATCTTCAAAATCACCCGAAAGTTCACTCTTCAAATCCGATATTAAATCCTTACCATACATCGTTTTAAAAGCGCTCGCTATTTGCTGACGCTGAAAATTGTGACATAACTTATAGCAAAAATAAGATAACTTGTAGCAAAAGTACTGCTACAGTTAAATAATCAATTGTTAGTGAAAATACAGCGAATTTTATCCTTATAAAAAAAAAATGATCGAAAAATAAAAACAAGATATTTCAACAGGTCATATAAACTAATGATCATTGTGCATAAATTAAAATCAACTAAGTTCCAGAAAAAACCCTTGCTGGTGCAAAATCAACCATTCCCCACAAATTAGGAAATCATTTCTGATATTTTCCCACGAACATCATTAGTTTGAACAAATTGGAAAACAGGTTAGAAAAAATATGTCTAAAAAAATTAACAAAAAATTTACCAAAAAATATTTAACGAACTAATCAGATTCAAATATTCAGAAAAACTAAACCTGAACATTTGTACGACCACACAAAACAAGTATTATCTTATTTTTATCGCATCCAATTCCTTTCATGGCTTTTCGCAACGTTTCGGCATCCGAATTTGCATTAAACGACGCATTTGGACGAATCGTTGGAGTTCCATACATTCCTCAAATAAAAAAATGAACAGAAGATCCTGAAACGTCTCCGGAAAACTACTCCAGACGAACTCAAGTATGCCGAAACGCTTGGACCAATGCAGTAATTCAGACGACTTAATTTTTTTTAAATAAAGAATGACAACAGCGGCAAAGAGAAAACGAGTTATTCATACTATTTTTAATACAATTCTTTTCAAATACCATTAATGGATTAATAGAGAAATTATTGACCTCTTTCGCGATTTTCCACCCCTCTACTAACCAACGACCTTTCCTCAACTCAATTTCATAATTATTATTAATGCCCACTGATTGCGACTGTTACCCTCGTTCACTCCTACCCTAATCCTCTTTATACATTTATTGACGAACTTCTGCCATAATCTAGCTTCGGATATCTTTTATATAACTTTGTGATCTTTGTTTAATGAATAAGAATACGGAACTATTCTCCCCGACCTTTTGATAAATGATTACAAAATTATTAGCAATTTAAACAAGTGAAAATAGTGCAAGCCCTATGAAACTTTGTATCATAAATCTTGCAATGAGCGATCACTTCAGACGTCTTACAAATATAATGTGTCGAATTCATCGATAAATCACTATGATCCAAAGGAAGATCTAAAGATCTAGGCACCTGCTGGCAACAAAATCACCTGTCCTAAGCAAAATATAGATTTAATTTTCGACGACAATTTGGTTATCTGCCATCAGTGAACAGAAATCGAAACCATGCTTCAGTAAATGGCATAAAATGAGCTGACAGAACTGATTAGAGCAAGGGAAATAGAATAGTAAAAAAAGAATGACAAGGGTGAAAACATATAGGAAAAGGAAAAAAGCATAAAAAACAAAAAGATCACTAGTGCTTTCCATGGTCAATTGATAAAGGTCAAGTGTTAATAAATTCGTAGAATATAATATTCAACAAATTATTTTTTTCTGTTGGATGGTGTAAAGAAAACTGAGAGTTAAAAAAAAGTTATATGGTTCTTCCTTCTCTAATATGCGGATTTTTCGCTCATTTCAGTTTGAAATATATACCATGCAAAGTGAAAGATATGGGGTAGAGACCTACCTATATTGCCCGCCGACTGATGAATACACTGATTAGAATACTGTGTGCAGGAATAAGGACTGGTATTTGGCTGATGACCAGAATTTTTATTGTCCTCGGGATATACTAGTATTGCTGACTGTTGCTGGCCAGAATTTATGGAACTAATATGGTAGGGCGACGAATAATTTGTCGAATAAGTTGGATATGGAGTCGGATTTGACGATGCATATGAGGAAATTTGTTGATTCGGTTCCCCTTGTACATTTTTAAAACCTATGACAGGTGGAGGAGGATGATATTGTAACGTTTGGCCTAAAATAAATAGGTTTTTTTTTCGTTTAGAAACTAGTGAAAAATCTCATAAATAATTAAAAATGTAAGAAATGAAATAATTATTATTGGTGCTAGTAAAAATGACAAAAAGAAAGCATAGTTAAATGATAAAGATCATAAGGAAGATACTTGGTTGTTGCTGATGTCCAGGATATTGATTTTGTCCTCCATATTGACCAGTGTAACATGTGGAGTCAGAAGGATAACTTCCTAAGCACCCTTGACCGCCAGGGTAATCCCCAAATCCACCCTGAGCCCCAGGGTACCCGCCTTGGCTACCTGAATATCCACCTTGCCCTCCTGGATGTCCAGCCTGCCCACTCGGATATCCGCCCTGTCCGCCGGGATATACGCCCTGTCCGCCGGGATATCCACTTTGTCCGCCGGGATATCCACTCTGTCCGCCGGGGTATCCACTCTGCCCACGGGGGTATCCACTCTGTCCGCCGGGGTATCCACTCTGCCCACCGGGGTATCCACTCTGTCCGCCGGGGTATCCACTCTGTCCGCCGGGGTATCCACTCTGTCCGCCGGGGTATCCACTCTGCCCACCGGGGTATCCACTCTGTCCGCCAGGATATCCACTCTGCCCACCGGGATACCCACTCTGTATACTTTGTCCACCAGGATGCCCTTCTTGACCAATAGGATATCCACCTTGTCCATCCATATACCCGCCTTGGCTACTTCGATATTCACCTTGCGGATATCCTCTTCCTTGGCTAGGATTATTTGTTTGTGGTTGGTAACTGCCTTGATTTAAATTTGGACCTCTGCGACTTTCTTGTATGCGACTGGTAACTGTCTAAAAATGTCAAAATCGGTCGATAGAACTCATAATGGTCCCCAGCCAAAATTCCAAAGAATGCCGAATGTACAAAGAGCAATAATATAAGACTTGTCGAAGATTGATAAACAATAAAATGGGAAATTCTTCAAAATTTATAATTGTTTTCAGTACTAAAATAAACTTTAATGCTAATTTGAAGAAAGGAAACTAAAAAATTATCCAAATGCAAACACTTAATTTCATTTCTTGTTTTGATTAAATAAGTAAGTTCATTGCGGGCTTTTAATTGCTTAAAAAATAATTACAAATCACAAACTGGCAACGACAATGGTCACTAACTTTTCCAACTTCAGAGAGAAGAGAAGAAAATAGCTGTGAAGAAGGCATATCGAATCCTTCGGCAAAACTGCCAGCACTTAATGAATGATTGAGCTGCGGCGACGTCCAATAACTACGGTGATTACAAACACCGAGTAATCAATTCGCAGAACGTTTTGCTGCGCTCGACGCGATTTATATATTTCTCTATTTCTATCGGTGTTTTATAGGCACAATTCAGTGTGAAAAACAAACTGAAGTTATCATCACGATCAACAGCATCATCGATCAATGAATGAGTTTAGAGTTGTGCACGGAGCCGGTTGTGGAATGCAGAACGAGTCTGTGCTATAAAATAAGGCAACCAAAAAGTATGAAAGGTAAACATTCGTGAATAATAGCGGAATGATAGAAAAGACCGCTAATCGCTGACAAAACTGAAGCGTTTATGTCAAAAATGAACTCCGAGATTTAGTTGGACAACAAGAAATAGAGACGACAATCCAAATCTTCAAGGAGGCATTTTTTGGCCTAAGAGAAAGGAGGAAAAATGGTTTTTTTAAAGACATTCAAAGCTTATCGTTATTAAAATCTGTGTTTTGATTTGTGACTTAAATATTGTTGAAAGGTGTTCATTCGCTCTCGACTGTCAGCTTTATGGCGAGCATTTTCCTAGGAAATTTTACCTCAGGGAGAATTCAAAGAACACAAAATGTTCATAAAAACTCAATACTTTAAAAATCTAGAAAATGCAAGCAGCCGCATTCCTAAGGCATCTGAAAATTATTGACATTCTATTTAATATAATACCTAATTTAATAATTTAATATCATGTTAGCATTTTATTTATTCACTAAGCTATTATTCACAAAATCGTATATTTTTAGTGACGACATCATATGTGGTTCTCATTTTCCAGATTTCATATGAATCGACATTTGTTTTCTTCTTTTTTTGATGGATTATATGAGATTATTCTGCTTGCCACTCTTATCAAGCACCTGAGCTTTTATCAGATTCAAATGTAACATTTCAAACGAGATGATAATAACGGCTTTTGCCTCGTCTGTCCCAGCTGAAAATCGATCCAGCGTTTCCCCACCTCAACACATATCGCTCGCTACCAAGTCGTATCTTAATTTCATTCAAATTCTCTTTCATATCAGTAATCCCATAGCGTATCAAAAATTTACCAAAATACGTAAACTTATTTATGGACGGAAGCAAACCAAGCTAAGCTATTACGAAACCAAAAATCTACTAAACCATCAATTTTACTATTACAGCATAAAGAGAGAAATTTATAGTAAAATTAAATCTTTATATAAAATATTCTAAAAGCGATTAAATAAAACGGTAAAAAAATGGTTGTGAATCGCTTAATTATAAAAGTCAATAATTTCGTGTAAAAACAGCGAAGTATAAATAAAAAAATTCATCTTATAATTCAACGAAAATAAAAAAATTTAGTTTTTCTTCTACTCCATAGTGTTATTCTCTACTCTTAAATGATTAGAGGCCAGATTTCTAAGAAAAGTGATACTTGTTCGGTATTCGTAAAACTGATTTTCTTGAATCAAGTGAAATAGTCTAATGTTGCTTACACTGAGGGCAAAATAAAAGGAAGTAACCTAGTGCTCACCATTCCTTGTTAGAGTCTCTCTCATTTGGCTTACTGCGATGAGAAATTTTTGCAAGGCAATCACATGACCATAAAAATACATGTGGGCCTCATTCATCACCAGGATTTTCTAATAACAGGTTTATTTCTTTGGTGGTAGGAAACCTTGAGGTTCAAGGCGATATTCTGAGCAATAACCACAGATAAAAAAAAATAAATGAAGGCAACTTTTGCATTCACTTGTCTATTCACGTATGTATTCGTCATCCAAGCCCTTGATAGATTAGCCCCTTACACTGTTGGTTGGCAAGCAGCATGAACTCTATTTCTACCGCATTTACAATATTGAAAAATTGATCTTCAATGAATACGTTAAATTTTTTTTTTGAAGCCCAGTGGATAGCGAAAAGGTCAACTTTGACGTGTATAGGAAAAATTTTTCCCAGGAATTTGTAGTTTTTTACCAATTTTTTCCACTGGATTACAAGGCAACTTTTGCATTCACTTGTCTATTCACGTATGTATTCGTCATCCAAGCCCTTGCTCATAGCAAATCTTTTTCGCAATTACACCACTCAGTCCTGAGTATATTTTATGTAGTATATTTCACCAACAAACCAGTAAAGTTCAACTAGCACATTTCGTAACCTGGGTATTTGGGTTTGGATTTGCCCTGGAAAGTTCTCATAAACAAAAACTGGTGTTGATCATTAATGACATAAATGATTTAGATTTAGATGTTTTAGATGATAAATTTAGAAATTTAGAAACCTTCGAATAAGAGGGTAAACTGAAAAATTTAATCACAAATTTTATTTCACTGGGCCATGACTTATATACAGTTGATTGGTAATAACAAAGATTTTTTCAGTTTTCATCGACATGCTTGATTAATTTTTGATGAAATTTAGAAAATTAGAGCTGATTTTTATAAAATTAGAGCTGATTTTTATATCATCACATTTTGCCATTTATTTCTTGCAATAAAGCAGTTAGCTTTTTGAAAATTGTGTGTGATATTGAAAAAATCAGAAGAAATATTCGAAAGATAAGAGAGAGATAAGATTTTTACATTTTATAAACCTTTACAAATTTCTCCCATAAAATCATTCACTGTGCATTCGATATTTTCCTGTCAGCATAAATAATTTGTGAAATAAATACCGGTAACTAATTGAAAAATGTAATAGTGAGCGGAGATCTTCATGATCTTCATGATGAATGTCTGTGAAAAAATTCCAGCCTAAATTTGTTTATTGTAAAAAAAATTTGATTTTGTATTTGCTTGTATTTTGGTTTTGTATTAATTCATTAAGCTTTAAATAACAAAAAAAGCAAGAATTCGATTAGTTCAAAGGAAACTTTATTAAATGGAAAATTTTAATGGTGGAACAACGGCAACAACTTACGACAAGCAGCAAAACGAAATACCATTTTATATCAAATTATGGTAAGATTCCATAACAAAAACTAAATCTCCACATTAGCATTTGAATTTATTCTTTGATAGTAAAATTTATATATATATATATATGTAATTGTCTGAAAATCAGGCCTAAAGGCCATTCTCTTTGGTCTTCCTAGAATTAGCCAAAGCGGCTCGCTAGTCTATTCATTTATTCGGATGAATTAAACAAAGAAAGTAATTAATGGACTGTGTCTTATTGTTTCCCAAGTAAGAAACCTAATTTTTCGGCAAATAATGTGAAAATTTACAAAAAGTAAGCCGTACTACATGCAGTATAAAACATTGCAGAAAATATTAAATCATTTGTTTTAAGTTTAGATTTCGTTTTAAGTTTAAAAAAAAGCAAACATGAAACCAGAAATTTCCTAAACCGCTTGCTGATTGTCTTTTTTAAACACGTGTTCTATATCGATTCATTCTCTTTTTCGGTATTGCAAGGAACGGACCAACCGTGCAAAAAGTCTAACAGTGGTTCTTCAGTGTCAAACTCATAAAAGGAATATTGAGCTAATAAATTAAACTTAATAGTAATAATATCTACCTCAACAACAAAATTCTCATTCAAATTCAACAAATATAAAAAAAAATTATTCTGTCTTTAGCGATTCGTTCATTTTCTTTCTTTTAACGACGATAGACATTTCAGGTTGGCTCTTTAATTATAGAAAACCTTTAGCAAATAAAGCAAAAATGAAAAGACAGAAGCATAGGAACAAAACCAGCTGAAAAGATAAACCAGATTGTACCGGTAGCGCCAGATATGAGGAAAAATCAATAAAAATTATAAGCAGGATAACGTTGTTTGACCGAGAGATTATCGCCATCAGAGTTCTCTTCTAAAAAGAGCTAACCTGCTGGTGCCAACGACTCACTTGTATCTCTCCATCTTCAAAGGACTCCATGACAAAAATTGATGAAATAACTTGTTATTTAATTTCTTCAAAAATCTGAATCCTCCTTCCAAAAAGTACGATATTTTTCGATTTTATTTGAATTCAAGATTATAAATAGTGCTACACGGTTCATTATCACTTGATTCTAGTGATAAATAAATAATTCGGTGATAAGTTTGAAGAAAAAAAATTGATAGAAACCACGCCCAAATAAATATTACAAAAGTGAACCGCCTCTTAAGCGAAAATCCCTATAGTGCTGCCTTTCTAAAGTATTATTATTGTTCGTAAGGCGCAGTAATAAAGCAATCATTTGGTTTTAATCGCCTTCCAAGGCTGATTCAAATTATTTAATTGATTAACTGTTAAAGGTTATTGTGCATATATTGAGAAATTGATTAGTCAGTCAGTCGCTTGTTCGAAAAATTTTTTTCAAAATTCTTGAAAAATAAAATTTATTTTAATTTAATTTTTATTAACCATAAAAAATTAACGCATTTGAATATTTTAATTTGAAGATAAATGCAAATGAGCGAACGAATGAAACAAACGAGATTCAGTGAGGAAAAACGATGCCGTACGGTTCGTTACATATTATATTAAATATTTATGTATATTAAATATTTTTTGTAAAATATCGAAAAAAAATAAAGAAAAACAGTTTGTCGAAATCACTTTCAAACTCTTTTTCTTTTTTTTCTTTGCATATTTATTTTCCATGTCAGAGAATTCTTGTTGCAATTGTATTTCAAATCTAGTTTTAGTCTACCAAATCAGTAATGTTAGTGACCCACCTGTGCTTCTATCATCAACTGATTCTCTGGTGAAGGAGTCATATTCTAATAGTCGGGAAAACCAGAGAATGTCAAAAATTTGCACTCTTCATATTCTGAGGGGAACGAGTGTTATAAGAATCATAGCTTTTTGTTTATTCAAGACTTTGATTAATTATTTTTATTAAATTTAACTAGCAATGATGCATATCGTCATTATCGTCATGATTAATTAAGCCATATCGCTCACAATTCACTTTTAAGGTTATCCAGTGGGTCTTGAAATTATTCGATAATTTTTTAGAACAAATTTTACCCTCATGAAAAAGTTTCATTTTCTAATTTCATGCGATCAATAGATTAATCAATAGATTAATTCAAGTCGCAATTCTTTGCTTAAGTAAACTAATATATTTATAAGACCAGGAGGAGTAAATTCGTGATTATTGACTTCGCAATTGTAAAAATTTGTTACATAAAGTCTTAGAGTCTTTAATTATATGTACATGAAAAAAGATAGCATATGAGAAAGAGAATCTAAGAATTACCAACAAATCTTTAGAAGAAATAGTCCATCGTTTTGTAAAAATTCCAAAAGAGATGACTGTCTGAATTTCTTACGCTAATATTAGTTCAAATTTTTTCATTTATGTCATTTGACATTAGAAAAAGGTGAGGATAAATTAAGAGAATGCAAAATTTTATATGCTCTTCATCTTTTAAATTTCTTCTTTGAAGTTATCAGCGAGAAATAATGGTCATAATGAATTAATTGATATAGTTGGTCAGAAATCTGGAACAACAAAAGAAATTTAAAATTTTTCGGGATTTACTGAAATTTTAAATATAAAATCTCATAGTACTGCTCTATTTATCACATTCCGTACTTTTCTTTGCTTCTTTTCAACATTCGACAATAAGCGTTGTAGATAATGGAAGAAAAAAAAGTTCGCGTATGGCGCAACTGTTCGAAAAATTCATTTATATTACGATTTTTATTTTTACACTGTTTTAAGTATATGTTTAGCAGAATATTTTAAAGCAGGGGTACCCAACATTGGTTTCCCTGGGCCACATTAGGTGAATAGGAATGCCTTGAGCGATATATAAAATACATTTAGTTAGGTATAACTATAGTTAAGAATAAAAAATGAAAAAAATAATTATTTTTTGTCGTATTTATTGTACTTTTTATTAAATAATAAAAATAAAAGTATGGGACATAAAATTAGTGGGATATTTTGTGAAATTCAGTGCATCAATGTTTAAGTGGTTTCAATTCTCAGTAAATTCTCAAGCTTACGATAAACCACACCACTAATTTAGAAAGTAGGTTCGAGTACCCTACTTTTAATCATAATATATATGAGGTAAAAAGAGAACCAGTGAGAAATTTTATTAATTACATTCCATTCTTCGTTTTTTCTTTTCCATTTATATTTTAATGGCTTATAAATGACTAATAAGTGAAAGAATATAGATGACAGAATGTCGCATAAAAGCGTAAATTACCTTAAATTGGCCTTTTTTTCGAATGTTGTAATTAACTTGTTGATTAAATTATGGAGCAATATTTTATATTCGAATTAAATTTAATTTTAATTTTTTTAAAAAAAAGGGAACCATAGACTAGTCGAAAAATTTTTCAATATTTTAATAATTTCTGTGAATTTTCTTAAGCACCTAAGAAATCTTAAATTAAATTCGTCGTAATTCCCATATAATTTATATTTATTTAGTTTTAAAACTAATTTTTAAATATTTTTTTTTTTGCTGTTTGCAATATTTTAAAAGAATCTTTTACGCGATTTTATCATTTTTTAATCAGCATTTTCGAATAAAACATATTCAGTAGGATAACTCTAATATTCGTTTACTTTTATTTCCGACCTTACATTCCATTCTATATTTTGTTTTGTAAGAAATTGCTCTGCATCAAATATACTTATCTTTGCAGCAAAATTTCTAATTAAATATTCTGTACTTTATTGCATTTTATTATTTTGAAATTTTTGAAAGCTTACTTTTCCGCATTTTACTTCACCAACAATTCATTTCCATATTTTTTTTTCTTTTTTGACTTTTTCAATCGAGTTTACATGCGGTACGTTATATCTGCCAAATATAGTAAGGTTAATTCGTTTGATTACAGTTATTTTTGATATGAAATATAAAATTGTGCTGCCTCAGAAAGAAAAAAAATTCAATCAAAATTATATTCACATGATTGAAAATCAAGCAAAAAAAGTCTCCTCTTTCTATTATAACTCAAATATAACTAAGCTAAGTTGACGATAATTGAAATGATTGGTAAATTTAGCTGCAAAATTTTAGAAAGTGTTTTACGAATTTTTGCATGGAAATTTATGAAAAATAAAAAATTCTTTTAATGGATTCTATTTAATTGAATTGGAAAAAAAACGTCAGTGTTATTTTGAAAATTTCCTTTTTTTGCCAAAATTTTTTTAATAATTTTTATCTAGCAGTAATTCAGTGATGCCAAGTTATTGAAGTTGGAAACAAAATGATTTAATTCTGCTCATTTATTCAAGCTTTTAAATAGCTACTATCGAAAATAAGTAAAACAAGTCGAAAGGTTTATTTTAGGAAATTTAGGAAGGAAGAAAAAATTTTTAAATGCAGGATGACCGAATGGATAGTGATTCAGATTATCAAGTCGAGGGCAAGAGTCCTGCTCCTTCGTAATATCCAGGTGCTTCTCGCGATCAACTTATATTTCTGGCGAAAATTCTTCCTGGCAAAAATTTTTAACTGTACTAGCATCCGGCGAAGCTACACCAGAAATATTTATTTTTAGGGAAATTATTTTAAAAAATTTTTGAAAAATATTTAAGAAAAAATTTTAAAATATCAGTCAAAATAATTTTTTTTTCATCTGATAATTTTGCAATTTGTTTTTTAGTTGAATATTTATTACAATTCCCGTCTCAATTAGTTCATTTAAACTTATAATGATGCATCATTTAAGAAGCAATTTTCGAGAAATTATTGTCGTACTTTTTTTCGTAAAATTTGGAGTGCTGAGTGAACCTCAAATAGAATTTCCAAATGCCCTCCTTTGAAAAATTTCCTTCTCGGTTTGAAAATCAAAATTGTTTTCTGAAAACGATATAATTTTATTTTTAATCAGTTTTGCAAAAATGCAAGTGGCAAGACTATTAGCGAAAAAATTGAAAATTTATACAAAAAATATTCTGTAGCAGTTCCAGATGAAAACGCCAAAAAAAAAGTATAGGCTGAGATTACAGGGATTGCTCATGGAAAAATTGTTACTCCTGTAAGAAACTCCCAAAAACTGCTCATAAAAACAGTTTAGCATACAGTAAATCATGATCAACTTTGGATGTGAATTTAGCAGTCTTCTTATATTTTATTTATGTCAAGAAACCAAAATAACTCGGCATTCATAAATTCCTTCTCTTATAACACACAAATAGCAAATAACATTGATATTAAATGCAGCGATTATCTCAACTCAAGTTTTCCGATTTCCTTTTTCCATTATTTTTACTTTACTTATGAGTGCTTTATGTTGCAATCGTTTATTCAACTCGAATTGTTTATTTATAGAAATAATTCCTTTATTTGCTGTTATTTCGTAATAATTTGTCATTTGGAAATCAAATTCCATCGGGGAGATTTTATGATGGAAATCTTAAAAAATCATCGCATTATCTGAAGAATTTTCAAAATAAATTTTTCTTCCTATATCGTATATTCAGTTTCAATTAAATAGGAGTTCAGTCCTTTAGGTCAAATTTGTCTGAGAACAGATAAGGTTTCAACAGTTATAAACAGTTGTAAAAAAAAAAGAAAAGTCCCTTACCTCTGGAAGTTGCAATTTCCAAGACGTAAAGCTTCTGTTAAGGTTTTAACTTCGAATGAAGCTTATATATATATATATGTATGCATAAGTAAACTTGTCATTCCTAATTTAGGCTCGTTCCAATAACTGGCTGTTAGTAAGATAATTTTGTCAGAGTGCAATGAGAGTAGAAGTACAGTTGGTGTATCTCACCCTTTTCTAATTTTTTTCTAAGAATTGTCTCCATTGCTAGTTAAGCTTGTTTCGCTTAATTATCGTACCAGACAAATTTTGCCAGGGAGTCATTTGGCGATAGAAATACATGTGAATTGCCAACATCATCCGGATTTTAAGAGGACTTTAACATTGGCGCTCCAAATTGACCATCATCCCATTGAGTCATTCTACACCCTTTGCTTTTGCCGTTGGACGACATTGCAGCCAAAAGCCTTGTGCATCAGCCGGATTCAAAGCCTTTTTTAATGACAGTTCTGATCCTATCTAAGTGAGGGTCGATATTTAAAATGATAATCTAATCAACCACTCTGCTACTCTGTTTCCACGCATAAACCGGAAAAAATTGTCGAATACTTGATAAAATATAATTTTATTCATTGTACTCGAAAACTTTGTTTAAAATGTGCGAACTGTTTTTTCCGTATTGCTTATTGAAAATCTAAGTATTTTAATGCTTCATTTTTAATTGTTTTAAGGTACTTTCAAACTTTTTAAAATCTTTTTTCCAAATTTATAAATTTACAGTCTCTACAGAGTTCAAAACACAAAAAAAAGTCCACAAAAATTAAACATTAAACATAACTTAGAAACAATTTTGAAAAAAGTGAGAAAACATGCATTATTTTTAGTTCAGAACAAAGATGCAGATTTATTTAAAAAATTTGCGACCGAAATGAGAATTGTGCAGAGCCATTGAAAAAAGCTATAAAATTTAATGTTATTCATCAATGTAAACTTAAGAATTATTCTGATTCAAATCATTTTATTGATCAAAGACCATCATAGGTTCGGTTCCTACTTGTTGATAGAAATAGTTAGGAGTAGATGTAGGTAACCTGCCATGTAAAATTTTTTTTAAAAAGAAAGAAGAAGAAAGAAAAGAAAGGAAGAAATCCGTATTATGCTGAAGTTACTTCTATAGTTAAGATGATTTGTTAGCGAAAAGGTTTCATCTTATTGGCCAAGTAAGTCGGAAAATAGGAAATTATGAATAATTAACTTTACTAAGTGAAAATAATTTCCATAATAATTTTTTTCACAAAAAAATGATGAAAAACTAAAGTAAGGAAAAAATGTGATATACTGTTATCACAATTTAATTCATATTCCCTTAATTGGAATAGCCACAATTTCTAATTTTTTTTTAAAAATTATTACAACTTTTTTCCAATGAGTATGCATTTGTGAATCTATTCGTGTCATCATCGTAAAGTAAATTCTATTATTCGAAACGATTGATCAAGATAATAAGAAAGTACACTACTGAATCAAAAAAATGAAGCCTTCGTCCTCATGAGTGAGAATCTCAAAACGAAATCAGATTTATATATTTCTCATTGTTCAATTTTTGCTTTATTGCTGGAATTCAGACTTTTTAAATTCCTTTTGCTATTTATAAATTTCAATAAAGATTCATTCATTTAAAAAAAAATTGTTCGAAATAAAAAGGTGCAAAGTATAATAATAGTTAGCACCATTTCAGATAAAACAGAATTATGGATCCAAAGGGCTACCAACATTCTAAATATTAGTAGCCATTAACGAAAAAAGAAACGCTGATTTTATCTGATTTGATAGCCGTTTTTCATTTATTATTCCACTTTTTTTGCCGTGAATGCGTATTTTTTTCCTTTCTTCAGTTGATACTTTGTATCCAATAGCTCCAAAAATAGAGTTTAAGCTAAAGCAGTCGAAAAAATGTTCTTATTAGATTCTTCATTTATTTAACCTTCAAAATTTATTTATTATATTACGATAAAAAAATAAAATATAAAATTAATGAATGGTACCCGATGCTATTTTTGTTCATCTTTATTTTTGCATATCTCTTAAATTGTATAGCTCAGTTGGTTTTTGCTCAATTAGAAGCGCGAGGTTCTGCACCTCGCAGGAATAAATCTGACCAAAAATCCTTATGCTGGCGATTAACCTATACTTCTATCGCCAAGAGATTCCCTGGCACACAAACTATGGAATTTTTCTAGTGCGATAAGCCAGCGGAGCGAGTCTAATCAATTATGGCGAGGGTTCTTTGAAAAAAAATCTCCTAAATTCATTTTGAATTTTCTTATAAATTGGTATGAGGTGAAATGTTAATTAATTTTCAATATCATTTCCATTCTTATCTTGTTTCAAATACCAATGCTGAGCGGTTTCTTTAGAAATGTCTATGTTGCATTAATTTAATATTAAATAGACAAGACGAAAATTCTCGGATTTTTTCGCAGTTCTGATATGCTTCAAATTCATGCTTAAGTACAGAGGAGAGACAGCCGAATTTCCTGACTATCATTGCAAGTTTCAGCCTTCGACAGGAATATATTTAAATAAACTTGATTAAACTTATTAAAAAATTTGGCTAACGGCCATCTTTACTTTTTTCACCAAGTGACTAAAATTTTTTATCGTACTAACAAGTGGAGCTAACCTAACTAGATAACATGAGAATTAACTACTTGCTCATATCAAATGTCGTTATTATCTGAAACCACAATAAAATTCAAAAAAAGCACTGACCGAAATTTACGCTGTGAACATATAAATGGCCTTAACCGTTTTACCTTAAACGGTGTAGCAAAATAGAAATGTCGAGAAAAATTGCAATAAAAAACGACTAAAGGTCATTGAAAAACTTTTTTCAAGAAAAATAAGACTATGCAACGCTGTTTCACCGAACAACTGAAGATTTGGAAATTTTTTGACACTTATAGACAGCAGAACGGGGTCGCGTTTTGACCATGAAATATGGAAAACATCAAATGAAACTTATAAAGAAACGAATGAATATCGAAAACTGGATCGATGCTAAACTCAATCAACTCTACGATGGTAAAGCTGTGAGTATTTCTCAATAGTATTTCTTCAATAAATTTTAAGAAGAAATAGACTATGGCTAAATTGGTAGACCAACGATCGATGTAGTGCTTCATTTTTGATGCGTTCGTGAATAGTGTTTTGTGATTCAATAAAGCCGAATTTTTATCACTAAGTACATGGCAACTGAGATTTGACTGAGATTAAATTAACCTTTGCGCTTAATTCCAAGCAATTTTTTAGCTAGCGTATGAATAAATCCAATCCTAAACTAACGTATGAATAAATCTCTGGATGATGGAAAATGCTCAAATTCAAGCATTTATCCTTATAGCGTTTCTGTACAATTTTTAGTACAAAATATCTGAAATATTGCAATGTTGAATAAAGTGACTGATTGAGGATATAACAATTGATCTGGAAGAAATCCTCGATATAGAATCTAGCAGTGAAAGACGCAATTATGTTATGGTAAGCTTCTTTAAATTTTACTCTAAATTTTAAATTTTTTTAAATTGTACTTTTTTCTGCCTTTTTTTGTTTTATATAGATCGTTTATTTATTTGTTGATATTTGAAATTAATTTTCCATTAAAATAATTTCGAAGCAATTTCATAGATTTTTTTTTTGGAGAGATGGGGCTAGATGGGGCTGAGTTCATAATGCAAAATTATTTTAAAATGACAGTTATTAAAATTTGACTTCGCCTTGAATCAATTTTAGCAAGCTTAAAACTTTTTGAATTTGAATAAAACTTTTTGATAAACAATAATTTATTGTCAAATCACCTAATGAAAATAATGGAATACTAGAAAGAATTAAAAGATTTGGACAAACTAAGTTTACTGCTTGCTCTAGAATTTGCATCTTTGTAAAAAACTATTCATTTGATCTGTCGAAGAGTATAGTAAGCATAAGCATCCGGATGAAGTGGCATCGTCGGTTCCAAAGATATGGAAAAGCATATATCGTTGCAAGGCTTAGGGCATTTTTGGATTATTGCCAGTTGCACTAAATTTCTTCCTTACAGTTTGTTCCATTTAAATTTTCAGGACATAATTCAGAAGACGAATTGCCCAGCATCATCATCAGAGGTCAATGTTTTCCTTGATGAAATGATTCAAATGTTGAATACCCTTTGAAGTTTTCGATTCTTTTAAATTCTTTTACTTTTATGAATATACTTTTATGAAAAAGATTTGAGGCCGCAGGCTGAATTGCTAAAACTGCCACCCTCTAACCACCGAAAATTTCTAGATCATTTTCTTTTTTACGTTATTCTTCTCCGACACTATCTTTAAGTAAATTAAGAGAGGTTAAAAAATTGCATTGCTTCATTGAACATATTTAATCCATAAAGGCAAATATTGCAGACTTTAATACTTACTTGATATTTGATACTTGAAATTAAAAAATTATTTTTGCGTAAAATGCACAACGAGCACTCTTGTTTATTGCAAAATATTTTTTAAAATTTCTAATGTAGTTGTATTAAAATTGTTTTATTCTATATTGGATATTAAGCAGCAGGATACAAATTGCTTTTAATGCTTTGAAATCGGAGTGAAATCGAATGTTCCCATAATTTCTCTTAAAAGTCTATCAAAATAAATAAAAAATTTGCAGAGAAAAATAAAAGAAATTTACAGTCTACGATCATAAATTATGTATTTAATCTTCAAGTTGTTGAAGATATACCATAAATTTGTTGACGAAGGAAGTTTCGCAAATTTATGAATTATGTGAATTATGAATAAATTTTATGAATTATGAATTAAAAGTTATTGAAATATTGAAACAAGTAATTTTATACCAAATATATTTTTTTATATTATTTCTTATTGAAAGAAATTTGTTACATTATAACCAATTTTTAAAGATTATACGATTAAATAATGCAATAACGATATTTGAAACGAGGAATTGAGGGTGGTGACTTTTTCAAAATTCTGGAAAGAATGCGAAAGGTAGCCGAACTGAAATTTTTCAGTGAATCATTCTTAGTTATGCAAAAGGTTAAAAGGAGAGGGAGAAATATTTTCATTTTTGTTTTCATTATTTTCCTTAAAAACATTTTTCTATTTAATTTCTTGATGATGCTTTTCAAACGGCCAATTTTGTTAAATTTTTAAATAAATATTTGTTAGTTTTCAATATGTATTTTGATATTTCTTATAGTTTTTAAAGCTGTTTAAAGCCTTTAATTAAATGAAATTGTTCATTTAATTTATTAACAGGTTAATCTATGTTTTTCTATTTACTATTTAGAATGCAAATAAATAGCAAGTAAAAGAGCGAAAAAGAGTTGTTTGAAGGATCACTTTATAGCATATGCAATAATTTTGTTTCGACCCATAATTAGTACACAAGAGATAAATTGTTTGGAATATATTTAAAGACAAATCAGGTAATTTCATGCATTATTTTAAAATCCTAAAATCCTAACAGAATTATTTGAACGACAACTTGTTAAATGTTGCTAGATATAGATAATTTGTTAAAATCATACGCGAAATGTTCGGAGCAATGAAATAGAAATGAAATTCGCATTTACCATAATTCTTTTTTTTGTAATAGAACCATTTTCATTTAGACTACTGGCTATTAGGATGAAATCGCCAGAGAGTCACTGGGGAATAGGAACACAAATAGGTCTCCAGGATATAAGCTTATTCTCGTCGAGGCACGGCAAATGAGCCTATAGTTTCAGAATCTAGTCGAAGCAGCATACTGCTCGACTAATAATCATATTTAATGAAGATTTGAAGAGCTGAATCTGTATCAGTTTACTTATTATTAATAAACTTTATCAATAACCTATGAAGAACGAATTCACTGATTAAATAATAACAATTTAGGTTCATAATGATAGCAATACGATTTGAATTATATGACACGTATTGTAAACAACTGTTATCCATTTACACCACAATGTGGTTTGTAAAAAACAAGTTTTTTTTGAAGAACGGAAACTACAAAATATGTTGATAGTAACAGAGGAATAAGTCCTTTTTTTATTACATTTTCAGTTTACGGTTTACGTCTGCGTCTAGTTAGATAGATTTACAACTGATAATATGTAGTGCTGGTCATACAGATCGTTGAATTTTTTGTATATGTGCGAATCAATGAAATAGCAAGACAGATTATAATCTTAAAATTAAAGAGGCTGTTCGAACTTACAAGAAAAATAAGAGAAAACAATTTAGTCGCAATAGGAAGTGCAAGGAGGTACAGTACAACTTTATATCCAAAGAATCTAAGTAGTACATCCGAATTTTCAAAATTTTTGTCGTTAGTTAAAGAAAAATTCAAAAGCAAAATGCGATAAAATTTAAGAGAAAATTTGATTACAGTGTTAACAAAAAATAAGCGATAACATAAGTTTACAGATAATTTGATTAAAAAACTTGGTCTACAGTTACTCACATTTCTTCTTTTACGCACTATTTCTGATTTGGCTGGCTGGCTGTTTTGGCTAAGGGAGTGAAGGTTTTTTACCGCTCAGCGACACACTGATGTCTTTAGCACCACTCAGATTTATCGCCATCAAGAATTGAGTGCATAATGCTTTGACCTTAGTCGAAACAAAATTCTCAGGTCCAAATTTAATCATCTGCAAAAAGAAACGACTCTTTTGAGAAAAAATATCAAATAATTTTAGGAGCGATCTTTCAATATAATAGATATTTCAGTAATGAAATATGACAAAAAAATGATCAATCATGAAATTGAAAAGATGGAATCAAACAAATTGGAGGTGATAACGTGAAAATTTTCGCTTCCCTTCAGCACATTTTTGAATAATATATAAAATAAAAAAGAAGAAGTATTCAATGCAATTTTCTTAAATTAAATTCATTTTTCAAAAAATGGTAGAAGGGGCTAACAAAAGAAACAGGTTTTTTTTGCATTTTATCCAATTCCTTTTCTTCTCCGTTAATCTCTTGTTAATCGTTTTGTGTTGAATTATTTCTGGCTGACATAGTGAATTTTTTTAAATCTATGATATTGATTCAATCACAGACACTACCGTTTTAATTCTAAAAAAATTTCAGTTATTAGGACTACTGTTTATTATTGTTTTGCGATATAAAACTTAAATTTTTGGTATTTCATGTCATTAGTCAATCCTTCCATTCGTCTACTACGATTTTCAATGTTTTTAAGACTATTAAATAATAACAAGAGAATAATAGGCTAATTACTTTTATGTTGTATCCCCTTTCATTTTAGTATTTTAATAAAAATTTTTTCCAGAATTTCTCTAAATCTAATTCTTCATTATGGCTAATTTTGCATATTACCGTAGCGCAAAAGTAATTTATCCACGAAATCACTAAAAAAAATTTGAACTTTTCTAAAAGTTTCGTTCACTTCTTGCTGGTAAGGTTTTAACCATATTCCATTTCCATTTTTTAAAAGCAAAATTTTCTTTTTTGTTGAAACAAATTATGAGAAAGGCACAAAAAAAGCATTTGAGCGGATTTTATTGTTCCATAACACCAATTATTTTTTAAAATAATAGACCAATAATAATAGTAAAATAATAATAATAGAAAGAATAATGTTATGTTGGTAATATAATGATAATTAATTAATAGAATTTTTTTTTTAAAGGATCCTCACTATTACTGGTTAGACTCGCTCTGCTGGCTTGTCAGCACTAGACAAACTAGAATCTCCTTGACGATAGAAATAGGTTGCCAGCACCAGCAGGATTTTTGAATAGGTTTATTCGTGAGGGGAGTACAATTAATAGAATCAATAATTAGTAATAATAAGAAGAATAATAATAATGTTTGTAAAGAAATATCAATTCATTATTATTATTATAAGATGATATAGATATGATATTTCTAGAAATCGCTACGTCCATGTTGATTACCTTGACCTGCTTCAGAAGAATTTAATCTCATGGTTTAATAGGAAACAAAATCAAGAAATAAAAAGCAGTAAAAATTGCAACATATTATAGCTGCAAACTTGATCTCGACTTATTGAAAATTTAATGTCAAAATATTTTAGAAAATTTTAGAAAATTCAAATTTTTTTTCGTTTAATTTGCTTTTATATGCATTGT